CCCCCCCCCGCCCGCGAGGGGTACATGCGCCAGCGCTGGGGAGCGCGGAGCGCGCTCCGGTAGCTCGGCACAGCGAACTAGGGCTACCCACTGCCCACCAACCAAGCTTTGGGTGTGGGTGTGGGTTAGGCCTGGTTAGGGTTGGTTAGGCCTAGGGCCGTGGTGTAGCCTGAGGGCTGGAAACCCGCTAGATGATTGCTTTGGCTTGTTGTTTTCTCCAACAACCCAAAACTGTTGGACTTGCGAGTGCAAGCATGGCGCTAGCTCTGGCGTATACACGCCCCCCCCCCCCCCCCCCCCNCCCCCCCCCCCCCCCCCCCCACCCACCCCCCGGAGGGCCGTAAATGCAATGAAATCATTTCGTTGAGCTTCTTCAAGACAACCCCTTGGTGCGGTCTCCCCGACCGGTGCGATGCTCAATGAAATATACACACGGGCCCACGGTGCTCGGCAGGCGTTGTGTGTGCACACCCCGGTGCCATCTCCCCGACCGGTGCCATTTCTCCGCCTCTGAGGATTGGATGCCAATGTACGTACTATACCTACATGCAGATAGTTGGCGGTGAAGGTAGGTGCCTTTGTTGCTGTGGCTGGGATTAATATCCGCCAAGCATGCCGGCTCTCCGGAACGTGTTTTCTTCTGAATATACTGGGGCCAAGTACTTGGACTTCATTCTACGTCCTCCCGTCTGGACGCGCCCAACCGCCATAAAAAAAGAAGCGGTGTAACCTAGAACGCGTCATCACTGATGGCTACATTCATGCATGAACATGGAGTTACTTAAGGAGTTGCCCGCCACATCTGTCTGCTGCTGCTGCTGCTAAACATCGCGACGAACGATTTGCGCCGCTTGCTGACTCGACAGGACGAGGGGTGGTTAACGGCCTTCGAGGGAGCCCTCTTCGACGATCGGGATGGGGATGACGAGAAGAGAAAGGAAGAACGCCTCCGGGAAGCGACGGCCTTCGCCGCCAGGCGTCGCGAGATGGGATGGAGGCTTACCCACGACGAGCTCTACAACGTGAGAGAGGGACAGAGGGAGGTTCAAGAGCCTATGGCGTTCTCGCTTGAGAAAAAGATATTTGACTGCTGCTGCTGCTGAGCGAGGCTTCAGAGCCTATGGCGTTCTCGCTTGAGAATAAGAGAAATGACTGCTGGTGCTGCTGCTGAGGGAGGCTGAAGAGCCTGTGGCGATCTCGCTCGAGAATAAGACAAATGACTGTTGCTGCTGCTGCTGCTGCTGCTGCTGCTGCTGCTGCTGTCGTCGTCGTTCGTCTGAATGCATATGATACTAACATGCGTAGTTGTTGCTGTCCCTCTATGCCTGCATACTCCTGTCGCTGTCGTTCCTCTGGATGCATACAAACAAACATTCTTGTACTCGCTTTTCTGCAGAGCGAATGCCAAGCCTCAAGCAAAAGGAAGCAGCTATTGACTACAACATATTCGTAGTTGTCGATTTTCAAAGCATTGGCGAACAAAACAATTGATGATTGGCCTTTACTTACCGGCGGCCCGTCGGCGGCAGAGCGAAAAGAACCCTGGAAAGTCAACGTTTCCGTCCGTCCGTTTTGTGGGACTCGTGTTTTTGCTATGGTTGGGAAACTACCGGGCATCTCGTTCTCGGGGGATCGGGGTCGGCGGGCAATATACGCGACATAAAATTCCTGGGGGGCGACGCGGTGGGGGTGGGGGGATGGGGGTTGGCGGGCACGATTGACAGAGCAGCGAAACGACCAGGGAGTAATTGAGACGGCGGCGGGACCCATCCACTTCGAGCGGGGTCAGGGGCAGCAGGGAAGGGCCTGGGATTGCTCCCTCGTTCTCGCAAAATACCTCGACCAACGACCCGAGGTATCATACTGCGCTTGATTTCCTTTGGAGGAAAGGTGACCAGCTTTGCTTTCATCATGGGGGAGTGATGGTGCGGTAGTTGTCTTTTTTTCTTTTGTACGGTGGTATCTAGACCCTGGGTTTTCCAACCATAACAACTGGTATTGTTTTCAGACTTAAATTGAAAAGAGGATGTATGCAGGCATGGCGTTACGCTTGACGTATTCTCCAGGCGAACATTGATATTATTAGTGAGGTAGTGTGCCCGCTAGAGAGGTCGGAACGGTTTTCTGTCGTGAAGACAACAAGAGCAACAATAACAACGACGTCGACGACAACATCGAGTAAGCCTTACCTTTGACCAACGCATGCTATCTACTTGTAAACACGTGGCTGTCCGCGAGAGGACGAGCAGAATGCTCGCAGTCCGCGGCTCCGCGTATCGCCTTGCCCCTTGCCGGTTTTTTGTTCTGTGTTTGCGTCGGTAGACAAACGGTGTTTTTTTTCCTACGGACGATACAGGTCGCGAGAGCTGTGTATCGCGTCTGGCCTGCTGCCGACCTTGCCACCAGTTTTTTTTTTTTCGGGTGGAGGTGCTCGAGGGCTGTCCTAGCATTTTTAGAACGTAAAGATAACCTCACCTCGCAGAAAGACTACCCGTTCGAGATATAACCTCAGTCGAAAGGGGTGTGGTGAAGTCTTTCCAGTAAGTGGATTGAAACCAACTGGAGACTTGGCTTATTTTGAGTTTGTGTAAGTCTAACACTGAGTTGTCAGTAATGCCAGGAATTTGTCACTCGCGGCAACAACAGAAAGTACTTGTGCCGTTGCTAAAAATTGATGTGCCCGCGTCCCCACGTCTTCTCCTTGCACACACACAAACC